CCTCTCTCTCTCTACACACACACACACACATACATACACATACACAGACTCCACGCCCCCCCCCCACGTGTGCACCATCACCCTCCCCGTTTCCTGTCCACCCAGCGCCACGTGTGTCGCGTCGCGCCTCTCCTTCACAGCCCTATGCACACCTGCGCCATGGCCTGAGCCCCCCCCCCTTCTTGTACCCTCGGTCCTCCCTGTCACTTGCCTCGGGCGTGTCACTCTTGTACGCTATCACCCAGCGTCGCCATTGACTCGTCGCCTGGCCCTTCTCCAGTCTCGCCCCTTGCTCCCAGCTCACGGCCCTCGTGGCTGCTCTCCCCCGGCGACGTATCACTTGCCGTCGCCGCGTCGCCGCCCTCTTCAACCCACCCCATTCCCTTGCCTCACCGCACAAATGTTGGTCCGTTGAGGTGCACGCAGAAGCGGCGGCTTTGTCATCTCGCCATCTGTTTGTTTTTCCCTTCGGCGCGGCCCTTCTTTCGCTCACGATACCCGTTTTGCTGCGCGACTTGTGTGTGTTTCTTTTTTTTCCCTTTGAGCTATATACCCTGTACAATAACAACAAATCCTTCCCACGCCATGGAGAGCCGTTTTCTCTCTCAGCAGCGCTCGGCAGCCATCGATGCTGCCCGCAACATCTCCCGCGCCTGTGGCGGCGAAATGGCCCAGACATCCGCCAGCTCCTCTCTTCTCAAGCCAAGTGCACAGTTGACCATGGACCGCTTTCTACAGGACTTGCCCAACGCCGACCAGCCGCCTGTCGACTTTTCGCCCCAGTACCACACGGGCCGCGTTCCAAACAGCAAAGCCGGCGATGGCAAGCCACGGCTGCTGCTCATGGGACAGCGAAGGTAGGCTCTGGCACGTGGTGGCTGTGATTCCAAGACTGATGACATCACAGGAGCGGAAAGTCTTCGATATCCAGTGTCGTCTTTCACAAACTACCGCCAAGCGAGACCTTGTACCTAGAGACTACCTACCGCATCAAGAAGGAGTCGATGCAGTATGTCACGTTGGCATCATGTGTCGTTTTGCGCTGACCAGTTGCACCAGCTCATTCATGGACTTCCAAGTGTGGGATCTTCCAGGCCATCTCGACTACTTTGACCCAGCTTTCGACACCGACAACATTTTCGAGGAAATCGGAGCCCTGATATGGGTTATTGACGCACAGGACGAGTATCTCGATGCCATTGCCCGGCTCAACATGACGATTCTCAACCTGCAGCAGTCGTATCCCAACATCAACGTCGAGGTCTTCGTCCACAAAGTCGACGGACTGTCAGACGACTTCCGCGGTGACACCTTCCGCGACATCATCCAACGAGTACAGGATGAACTCTCTGACCACGGCTACGAGCAAGCGCCCATATCCTTCTACCAGACGTCCATCTACGATCAGTCCATCTTCGAGGCTTTTAGCAAAGTCATCCAGAAACTCATTCCACAGCTGCCCACACTCGAAGCCCTGCTGAACAACCTGTGTGGAGCCTGCAATATCGAAAAAGCCTATCTCTTCGACATTATGAGCAAGATTTACATTGCAACTGATACGAGTCCAACCGATATTGGCAGTTACGAGATTTGCTCCGACTACATCGATGTGGTTATTGATGTTAGTGAGATTTACGGCTGGGACCGGCCAGATGATGGAGATAATGAAAGCGAGATGGGCAACAATGACGCCGAGAGTTTGATCACCATGGAGAAAAAGAACAGCAGGTATCTGTACTTGCGGGAGATCAACAAGTAATTCAGCAATATTACGTAAAGTCAGACTTGATTACTGATACTCTAACAGGTACCTGGCACTGGTGTGTATAATGGGTCAGGACAATCCAGCGGAGAAGAAGGCTCTCATCGACTACAATGTCGGTGTCTTCCAGGCAGGTCTGAAACAAGTCTTCCCCAAGAGCGACAGAGAGGCCCAAGTTGAGATCCGTAACATTCACGATATCTCTGAGCATTGATTACAAAGTTGCTGCTTGGAGATGGAGAGAGCATTACGGTCGCTGTATATATTTGGTGTGATCGATTCCTGCCGCAATCAGCATTGGCATGACCGGATAAAAACATTTGTATAATAAAAAAAAAGTAGTCAATGGATGAGCTCGTTGCATGAGACGGCCACCCTGATATTTCAGCCTCAGACGTATGTGGAATTAATCTATATCTATTTGCAGCATTGATATGCAAGGCATAAACTACGTCGTCGTCCCAACCCAAGACGTCCGGTTGCCGAAGCGAGGTTAGCCGTGACTAAATGACATCAGCCGGGATTTCGGAGCGTGGGCCAATCATCGGAATTTAGATCCGCGTTACTTCCGACGTCGCCAGCCCAAGGAGCAATCTATTTTCTCCGCCTTGCGCGCCCACGTCTCCTTTTGTTGCGGACACGTTTCTGCATCTACTTGAGCTGCTGGCTTGACGCTTGTGCAGACTAACAATTTGTTACAGATTGTTTAAATTAAGATCAGTTGTCTTGCTCTTCGGACTTGAACGTTTACCCGCTCGACCACAACCACAATGTCGTCATCTTCGCGGTACCGCCGACCTGCAAAGGACAATGCGACCGCGGGCTCTGCAACCCCGAATCCTACGGGCGGGAAAGAAAAGGCCGAGCTCAAGCAGGCTGTCCAGGAGCAGGCAGCCGCAACATCAAACGGCCTGTCGGTACTAGACGTACTGCGGATACTAGGCGGATTGGTGCTGCTGAGCTGCGGATTGAGCTACCTGAGTACGAGCGGAGAGAGCATGACATGGGGGTACAACCCATGGTGGACGCGAGCGCGAGAATGGAAGGGTCTGCTGGTATGTAGCGCATGCACAGCTTTCTTTGCCCCATCCCTCAGCCAAGCACATACACACAATGTCAACGCGCTAACAACCCCGCAGCAAGGCGAAGTCGTCCTCACTGACGCCGAACTCGCACTATACGACGGTTCGGATCCTAGCAAGCCCATCTACCTCGCGCTCAATGGCACAATCTACGACGTGTCCATCTCACCCAAGACGTACGGCCCGGGCGGCTCGTACCACTTTTTCGCCGGCAAAGACGCCGCGCGCGCCTTTCTAACCGGCTGCTTCGCCGACGACTCGGTCCCCGATCTGCGCGGCGTAGAGCAAATGTTCATGCCTATTGACCCAGAGGAAAAAGCCTCGCTCACCCCCGAACAACGCGCTGCCGAGCAAGAAAAAGCCAAATCAAGGAAGAAACTCACGCGTGGCGAGCTCAAGAATAGACATGCACAGGAGCTCAAGAGCGCTAAGAAACAAGTTGTCGAGGGCTTGGAGAGCTGGCATAAGCTGTTTCGAGGCGACAAGGGGAAGCCGTATCGCCGTGTGGGCAAAGTCAAGAGGGAGGAGGGCTGGTTGGAAAAGATGCCAGAGAGGGAGTTGTGCGAGCAGGCGGTCAAGAGCAGGCCGGTTCGGAAATATGAGTAATTGTGTTGACGGTAGTCGAGTAGAATGTATATGAAGGATATACCAGCGTCTCCCATTACCCTATGGCTGGCATGTCGATGAGCTTTTGGCCCGTTTTCTTTCTTACCCGTTTTCCTCCCCTTTTTTCTTCTTCTTCTTCTTCTTCTTCTTCTTCTTCTTCTTTCTCGAATATGTCTTGTGTCTTGTGGCTATTGCAAAATCAGATATGCTATCACACACTACCACTACCAATACCAATACCCTCTGATCTCTCTCTCTCCCTACTAACCTAACCTAACTTATCCTATCCTAACCTATCCTAACCAAGTACCAAGCCTTTCCAGCATCTCAAATACACACACACACAACTATCTCGTGTATTCTACTCCATTATCAAATTAACTACACGAGCTATTTTGCAATCACGCATGTATTAAATGAATTGGATATACATCTAGTATACTATCCAGCTACACTAAGTCTTCCTGGATAAGTACTATGCGGCTTGAAAGGAGGAGTATGTGATTATATTAGATTGTATTACTTTTCACCTTACTTACTCTTTCTACTTGATTCTTTTACTTGATTACTAACTACAGCTTCCCCTCCATCCCTCATCCTCGTTCTCATGCTCTCCCCCTTCCTAACACAACCCTCTCCTTCCTAATACAACCCTCTAACCCCAACCTTCTTTTCCCGTCATCCTCGCAAAATACAGTATAAATCCCACGATAGATAGATAGATAGATAGATAGATACATGACTTTACCTCTTTCATCTCCTTCATCTCCTCCATCTCCTTCATGCACCAGCTTTGAACTCCAACCCCCCAAACTCCAAGCCGCAAGATGTTGGATTTCCACAAATGGACTTTCGAAAAACATAAGAAAAAACACCCCCGTAAGGTGATGGGAGAAGGACATCAAATTAGAATACTTAGTAAGTACTATATAAACTATCACTTCCTCTTCTTCATTAACATGTCCATGTCATGTGCAAGTGACGTATGTGGAGGGTATATATGATACGATTACTAATATCTGGAGCATCAAGCGTATCAAGGGTATCGAGGGAATCAACAGTATCAACAGTATCAAGGTCAAGTGTTTCATATAAACATGATAGATGGATGGGTATGAGACAAGGTAATAAACCCAGTGTTGTGACAAGAGCCTTACCCCATCTGGAACCATGCCGAGCATTTCTAGGATAATGCCAAGTATAACCGCCGCGAGATATTAGACTTCATGACCTTTGTGCACAAGGGAATGCAGAATGTCCGAGACAAACTAACCTGGTCACATACGTAGTTGGCTGTTGGATAGAGAATCATCACCCACAAATGCTGACTTCATACGTGCATACCTCACATCACCAAGTAATCGTGTCACAAACAACCAGGCAATTTCATTTGGGTGTTTCGGATATCTTTTTCATTCAGTACGTAGCCGACACCTCCCATGGACTGCAGATGCTGTACCTGAGCCCGTTCCTCTCATTTCATGTCCCGCTACCAAGCATAACATCCCAATATAGGGACCCATTCATTCGTGAAGACGCCGATTGGAAATGGAAAGAGGAATGCCGTTGAAAATCCGAGGAAAGTGTCCCGAGTCTCGCGTTTGGATTCGTTGACTGGTCCGGAAACGTGAGTTTACTCGGCGTCGCCGATTGCTCGTGCTGAAACCTGTTAGCCTGTGCCCGAGATGATGTGCATGGCTCCCATTCTCATCCCAAATGGGGGAAGCGGCCAAGTAATGTGGTGACATACTGTAGATGCTGAGCTTGGAGTGACCGACAACCTTCTTGATCTGACCGTTGGCCTCGAGGTCGGCAAGCGCTTTCCGTGCGAGCGAGCCGTTGATCTTCAGACGATCGACGAGGGTGGCAACGGTAATGAGGCGGTAAGACTGGACATCCTTCTGGAGCTTGTCGTTGGTCTGCTTGTCGAGAACGACGGCGTGCTGGGCCTTGTCCTTGACTGTGCAGTTGTTAGTGGCGATTCTGCAGTACGCGGCGCGGAGAGGTCGCGACAGTCGCGTATAGGAGGGCAGTGTTAAGGGACGAATTTCGAGCGTGTGGGAATATTGGCGATATGCGTATATAGATGCTGGTGTCGTTGCGGCTTCACGTACCCTTGCCCTTGGACCACTTCTTCTTTTGCTTCTTGCCTCCAGTTGCTGCAGGTGCCTTGGGAACAGTCAGCGTCTTCTCCTCTTGCCCATCCCTTCAGCGGGTTATGCGGCGACGGGACGTACCATTTTGTCGGATGTGTGTGGTTGCTGAGGAGAGACTGTCAGCTCCAGCAGTTGTCAAATTCGAGTGCCCGGGTGCGGAGACGGTGGGCTTGGCGCGCTAACCGCATGTTCAAGCGAGCCATGATATCACGTGACCAGCTGCTCTGATACTCTGATACTTCCCAACACGGCTTATACACAGCCAAGTGCTCAGCAATCAGGTACAGGGACGCCTGACCGGACACCATACTCGGTCTGCTGAGGTGGATGATCGGGGCTCCGGGCAGCACGTGCAACACAGGACGAGAGTTGCAAGCGGATTGAGCCACACCACTCCCACACCCGCACGCGCGCTATGCACTTGTGGCTTACTCTCCGTGTTTGCCCCTAACCCCTGGGCACGGTGTCCAGCATCGCACGTCGTATTCCGCGAGGGATGATCATAAGACAGCGTTTAAGTTGCGGACATGATACCACATACGACCTTTTCGATGAATCGTAGTTTTAGCGCCTGTTGCGCCTATCATTGTTTTGGTCCATTTTAAGGGTGCCATGACGCACATGGACGGGAAGGTGTGGTTCGCGTGATTAAAAACGTTTTTGCGGGGCTGCATTGGCCGCCCTGAGGTGGTGATCAGGGTGCCGTTGGCGGATAGAGCAGTGCATGGCGTGGGTGCGTAGACTGCGCCCTTTTGCGCAGGCGGGCGGAGATTGGTCGCTCGAGGCAATAGCCGTGAACTGGACGCGCGTAGGTCTGACCGGCGATGCGCTGCAATGAGCAGGGTGGGGCTATAGGAGCCTGAGGAATCGGCGAGGAATCGGTGAGGGTTAGAGGACGGGGCCAGACAGACATCACGAGATATGCAAATGCATGACCAAAATATTGAAACAAGCAGGTGGCCAGTCAAGGCAATGGGCCCCGGATAGCAAGTGTGAAGCGTGGATGAGCAAGGTCGCTTTCCAATTACTGCAATTATACAGCTAGTTGGCGAAAGCCACTACCGAGGACTCTTGCGCCCTCCAAGTACGCCCTACCCTCCAAACACAGTGGTCTCGACGATATATGCAGCGCAGAGACTTACCCAACAATGACTGTAACTGAGACAAGGAGATTAATAAGGGAACGACAAGCTTGACAGTGAAAGAAACAGGACGTCAACATACGACTAGGAACCACAGAAAGAGACAAAGAAGGCAAGGGAAGATGATTCCAACTACGACTTTCTCCTTCCATCTTTTGAGTGTTTTTTTGGGGGTTCTCTCCCTGCCAACACGCCTTGCTGAGCCCTCGCATGCAAGCAAAGCGTTCTTCCTCTACGTGGTTTCAAATGCTCGCTAAGATGGAAGAACAAGTCCGTGGTAACCAGAACATGGAACAGAGCTGACAACTGGTAAATGCTGATGGCTCCAATCCACAAGTGCAACGATGAGAGAGGTATTCGCCAAGACGCCAAGTCCAAATGATGGATGCATATATCATTAGAAGAAATGGGTGTGGGGTTTCGAGAGCTCGTGAACTTCCATCTCCTGTCCACGTGGTTAGTGTTGGTTGGAGACACGGCATCTGCAATACGTACCATTTTAAAAGAGTTGAGTTCTTCCTTGATTTGCTGTGCAAGCATCGGTGTAAGCCTGTTACACGTCGCAATGTCGCCTCTACGGTCGTAGTCCTGCGGTGACCAAGCGTCGTGGAATTGTATGCGAGGGCTGAAGCTGATATTGCGCATTCCACCGTGGGGCGTAGTGGGAAGGCTTCTCGTGCTACCGTTGTGGATGCGAGGAGGTTTCGTAAAGTAGTCGTCGTTGCGAATCTGCCCAGCTTCTGTTCTTGGAGTAGCGGGTGAGCTGGATCTCGACGACCCGACGTTGGGAACGGCATCTACAGGTCTTATCACTGGGGAGCCCGCGGGGGAATTGGTGCCAGGGCCTAAGTCATGATTAGCAGCTGCATGGTGCAATATGGACAAAGTGTACCTACGTTTCAGAATACCCTTTTTCATCGACGAAAGAACCTCTGCACGGTCGCGATCAGACCCAACAATGCTCTTCCTTGGCGTCGTGTCGCCACCCGGGGCCGAAGGGTCGACAATCTCGGCAGTTTGGCCGGCATCGATCGAGTTGCGCTCCAGTCGGGGGTAGCCAGTGCCTCCCCTGGCGTGTTCATTGGGGTTGGCATTGACGTTGACCTTTTGTCTCTCCGCCTCGACGGTGACGAGAGACACTTGGCCCACACTGGGCCTGATGGGGCCATCAGCAGCAGGGACACCAATGACTGACTTGGGTCTGAAGAGACCCTTGATAGATTTGGTACCCTTCTTCATTCCATGACCCATTTTGCGAAGCATAACAGATGCAGAAGATGCAGCAGACTGTATAGACAGATTGTCCGTGGAGCCAATGCCACCCTGGCCAGAGTAAATGCCAGCCCCAATACCTGCAGCTTCTTGCTTTGCAATAATGGCTGCTTGCTCAGCATCCTCCACCGACTGATACTGGTCCTTCCTCAGTTTGGCACGTTCCACAGAGATGTTATTCTCAGCAGAAGCACGCCGAAGTTCAGCAGCACTGCCAAAGGAGAATGCTCTACGCAGACGGGACTTCATGCCCTTGTCCTTGTCGTTGACAGCGCTCAGCTGCTGGATCGCTGCACTGGATGTTGCCTGCGGCTTGGCGACAGTCGGTGACTCTGACGGAGAAATGGGATGTGATAGAGGTGAGGGTGCCTGGCGTCTGTTGGGCTCTGGAGCTTTGGAAGAGGTGCCTCCTGCTACGGAGGCGTAGCTGCGTTGGGCATTGGCGGCAGGCCGAGACTGTCGTGGAGATTAGTACAGGCCCATATTTGTCAAAAACAAGCTGTATACACTCACCTGCGATCGTGACGAGTTGGAAGATGCGCTGCCCGCGCTGCCCTGCCGTCTATGGCTGTGGCTCGAATCTGGGCGGCTTGCCGTGCGGCCGGAGCTCGAGGGCCGGGCGGCGGCGTTTTGGTTGACTACTACGCTTTGACCTGTAGCTGGGCTGACCTGCAATGACGCCATGCTCGGGGTGATGGCTTCGCCCTCTAGTCCGTTGAAACTGCGTCTCCTGTATCGCTTGGCGGGATCCATGCCGCCTGGGCGAACAATTTGCGTTTCATCGGCACTATTGGCTCGGCTGTGGGCGGGCTTGGGCGGCGTTGTCGAACCGGCAGCTTCTACACTGCCATTTGGCGTGGGCTGTGAAGATGTCGTCGTCTGTGGGATTCCTCCAGAAGTGGAGCGCTGTGTTGGGGTAGTGGAGCCCGTGGGTACGCTATTCGACGACTCTGTCCTTCCCGCGCCACGTCGATAGCGGCCCGGCGACGGCTTCACTGGCGACTCGCCGATGGACAGGGACAGATCGAGATTGCTGGTCGAGAGCGTGATGGATGGCGCCATGCTGTCGGCGGATTTCTTGGCATCGGCGTCGTCTCTGGTGGTGCCAGACGGCCCAGCCGACGAGCGATTGGAAGAGCCAGAGGTGGATACGGTCGAGTCGGACGAGGAGGAAGGGTGCGAAGGGTGGCCCAGACGAGCCTGGTTGGCGGGATTGGAAGACTGCTGGGCAGGCTGAGGAGCGGGAGCCGAGACGGACCTGTTCTCCTGGCGCAGCTGGGGCGTGCTGCTAAAGGCATACGGGGCTATGGGCGCGGCCGTTCCTCTGTATCCTGTAGCTCCAGAATTGCCGCCATGTTGGTTGCGCGGCATCTGCGACGCTCGCGGCTGTTGCTGGGTGGAATGATTGTTTGTGTTTTTGTAGGCATCGGACGGCGAGTATGACATTGTATGAGGTCCTGTCGTCTGGATGACTGATGTGAGTACCTGAGCCATCGGAGGCCTTTGGGGGTACGGCTGTCAGGAGCTCGATCGGGATCGGCTGCGGTAATAGCAGCGGCGGGAGTAGCGGCGGCAGAAGCAGCAGCAGCAGCAACAGCAGCAAGTGGGCGGCGGCGGCGGCGACAGCGACAGCGGCAAAGGGTGACCGAGTCAGGCAACTGAAAGTCTGTGGAGCATCACCGTGTTAGCATGGTGGTTCTGAGGATGCGAACAGATGGGCGAGTCGTGGCGCGGGAATAGGATGGCGGACGGAAGGCGGGCGAGGAAGGGAAAGATGTGGAGCAAAGGGATGCGTGGGCATTGGGGGAGAAAGTCGGTGGGTGGCTGGGGGGGTTCGCGGGCGAGGGGCGTCCAAGGGAGCGTGTACCTGCGATGAAAGGAAAGGTTGACAGGGGAAAGTATTAAAACAGTAAATAGAAAGTAAACAGATGTCGAGGGCTGGGAAGGCTGTCGTGAAATCGACGGAGATGGCAGCGTGTACCAAGCCTCCCGAGCAGTCCCTCAAGCCTGCATTGGTCGGTATACGTGTGTCGGTCGTGTGCTGCCGGAAACGACGAGCGATTCAAGAAGCAAGCAGAAAAGGAAATAATAGAGAGAGAGTGTAGGGTTGGCGGTCGCGGTGAAGAGTTGAGGTTGTCAGGCAAAGGGGCCGCACTAGTCTGGGAGCACGCACGGGCACGCTGCTAGGAGACTCACTCAATTAGCTACTCGGGGCGGCCAGACGATAACGGGGCACGTTGGCTCTGCCCTCTCTCCACGGTGCCACGGCCACGGTCACGGGGTCTGTGTGCACGCACGGGGCCGGGGATGCAAGCAGGAGGGAGGGAGGGAGGCGGGCGGGCGTGCAGGCAGGCAGGCAGTGTGGATGACTGTGCAGGGCGGCGGCGGCGGCTGCTTGTTTGTTGTCTATGTATGTGTATGTGTGTGTGAGAGAGAGAGAGAGAGAGAGTGTGTGTGTGTGTGTGTGTGTGCGCATGAGGGAGCGAGAAAGCGACGACTGCTGGCGCTGTGTGTAGGCCCGTCGACACGACACGACACGCCCGACACGACCGACACGACACGAGGCGTGGGCTGCTTACGTCGCCTCTTCGCTCCTGTCTACCTACTACATCCATAGGCGCATGCATGGCCTTTATCCTGCAATCGAGCCGATCGCCCGTTGTGCGTGATGCGCCTCGGAGACGTTAAGAAAAAGTAGCATAGAGTTTCCGGCATTCTTCGCCAGCTTCACTTCGCACCACACCCACACGCACACCCTGGTCGGCCGCCCACCCCCCGGGCGCCGGCGCTGGAGCTTGGAGCTGGTGCTGGAGCTGGAGCTGGGTGGTGGTGGTGGTGGTGCTCGGGCGCAGCCGATGGCAGCAGACAAAAAGGGCGGGCTGGTACGCTTGCACGTCTGAGCACAGCGCCTGGCTTGGACTTTGCTGATGCTCCGACAGCTTCGCACCCTGTCTGTCCGGACGCTCTTCGCTGCATGGTGCATGGCCTGGCAGGGGAGGGCATGGCATAGCAGGCCGGCATGGCGACACACAGCCCAGGCGGCGGTGGTGTCGAGGATGCCATGGCGCCGCAAACGCCTGATGGCCCGCATTCCAGGGTCTGCGGGACTGGAGGGCTTGGGATTGGGAGGGAGGGAGGGAGGAGGGATGCATGCATGCATGCATGCAGATGTGCTCGCAGCTCGCATGTCGCTCGCTCGCTCGCGCGCCCGCTGGCCGGCCGACGGGCTGGTGCAATTTGAGGAGTGGGCGAGCCATGGCAGGCGTGGCGGCGGCCGAGGGCTGGTGCAGGGCATGGAAGGGCATGGCAGGGCATGGCAGGGCATTGGCATGGGCATTGCCGCAGCATATCCGCGAATGGCAGGCGGGCACGACGCGGTTAAGCCGTGCCAATACGACGCCGCCTGCCTCTGCCTGCTCTGGCACGGGTCGGCGTGACCAATCCGCCCCTCGCAGCCCCAAGCGCCCCACCTCACCCATCTGCGGCTGAGCGTTTGCAGCACGCTGATGCTGAGCACTACCACATGCGCGATAAGAAGGCCGTTGTCGCCATGCATCCGTCGCCCTCTGTCCCTCAGTCAGGCTGTTGCGGTCGACGTGCGTGTGCGCCTGCGCCTGCGCCTGCGCTCACCGACTCGCCTGCGCCTGTGCCTGCGCCTGTGCCTGTCTGTACCTGTGCCTGTGCCTGTGCCTGTGCCTGTGCCTGTACCCCGCTCGTGCTCGCTTCTCTGCCGCCGCCCACAACGACTCGAACCTGCCCATGCCTCTGCCTCTGCCTCTGCCTCACGACATTGCATGTGCTGCATGCGAGCGAGCGAGCCAGCCCGCCCGCCCCCATTCCGTCTACACCTGCCTACCTACATGCATACACATACACACACACATTGCAGCCCGCGGCTCAACGTCGGCCCTCGCCCGCCGTGCTCTGCACACGCGTGGGTGGCATGTCTTTGCCATGGCCGCCTCTGCCAAGCCGTGTGGGGAAGACTGCGCGCCTGCGAGATGAGCCGCGTTTGATTGGTGTGAGCCGTGCGTGCCATCATTTCCTGCCAGATGACGCTGCAATCACTGCGAAACCGACGGCCGCTCTCTTGAGCGAGGCTGTACACGATTCTTCCGCTTTTGTCCATTCCATCCTGCCCGCCACAAACACCCCCAGTCCTTCTGCCGCCGTCGCAGTCGTTCCATTGCCGTGATGGTTTTTTGGCCCGCCCCACTTTTTGCTGCTGGGATGACGCGATCGTCAGGAAGGCGCCATTTCTATTTTGGGCCTCTTGCCCAATCACCTCCCCTCGTGGAGACGAGCCGCCAATCTCCTCGCTCCTCGCACCTACCCTCACCCTCTGTGCCTCTCTCTCTCTCTCTCCATTCTCCATCTCTCCATCTCTCCATCCATCTACCCATCATCATCTCTCCCTCTCCCTCTCTCTCGTAGCAACAGACGACACTCGCGCCAGCCGAGTCCCATGCGCTACCCGCGTCCGCTAGTCAGGTAGGCTGCAATAGACTTCTCGCATGTCTTAGCCGCCCACCCCAACGGGACGCTCGACGTAGTCATGTAATACTCGCTCTCTCACTCCCTCTCGCCAACCCACCCGTGTGGGCTCCAACGCACCAATGTCGCCAGAGCATCGACGGCCTCGACTGGTGCGAGCATTCTTGCGGTGACTGCAGTGTGCTGTTATACCACCACGACCAACACCATGGCCGGCCCGCATGTGCTACGCCGACGAGCGCCCCGGCCCTGCCGTCTGCTCGCTACTCGTATACACTGCCCGCTTGCAATTCGCGCGCACGGCCGTAAGCAAACCACTAATTCCAATCTACCCTCACGCCCGAACATTGCCGGTCGTCCAGGGGAGCTGTCACTCGCTCCATGGCCCCTAGCATGTGGTGATTGACAGCACCTCTCCTTCGTCGTTGCCACTCCACACCTTCCGATAGGCACGTCCAGGAAACCTAGTTTCCCTCTCAACGTCCAACACACGTTTGCCCACACGCCGTCCCATCCTGCGCCCTTTTGTCTACACACACGCACACACACTACACACGTTTTGTCTGCCTAGACCGCGCTCAACCGTTTCTCGGAAAGAATTTGTCCAGAGCCTGCCAATCATCTTTTCCACCCAGCCTGCCTGTCTTGTACCCCACAGTGGTCCAATCGCCTTCTAGACCGGCCACGCCTGCATGGCGATGCTGTTGTGCATCCTCAGGCCCGCGGTGCCTTTGCCCTGCCCAATAGGGGCCCCCGTGACGGCACACGCGACGGCCTTCCGATCACCGATTCCCGCGGTGCCACCATCTGCGGCATCTTGAAAAGCCTCATGCGACCTAGAACCACCCGTCTCGAACTACTGTTCAAGCCGTCTGTAGCAGCAGCAGCTCATGTGCATGTGCGCCCCAACACGTCCCAATCCCGCCCACGCGCAGGCCAAACTTTACACCTCGACGTGTTTCACTGCTCGCCTTGCCAGCACCAGCAGCAAAGCTTGGAACGGACGAGTCTCATCCCACTGTCAATGTCAGCATGCCGTCTTCCAAAACTTAGACCCATGGTTCTGCGGCAATTCGGCCGAAGCTTGTCATGTTACTCTGCATGTGGTCTGACCTCGTCCCAGCATCTCCATGTACATAACCAACTACCTTGGCTATTCAACTGACACTTCCACCTTGGCATCTCCAGTACCCAATGTCCCAGCAACCGTTGAGAAATTGCTCTCTTTTTTTTCGACTCCAATGCCTCCAGACATAGATACTTGCATAACCCACTACGGCTTCGGCTCGGGTCCATGGCTTCGGTCCGAGCACGAGGGCCCTGGTATTATCCCACGTGCATTGGGGGGGGGGGAAGCAGCACGCTTAACACTCAATGTCTCTTTTGGCCCACCCCTTTGCCTGCAGCCCGATATGTTGACATCATCCCAAAGTATACGTCATTGCTGGAAAGTCTACTCGCATCAAACGTTGAGCTACTGCCACGTCCACGTCCACACCCCTTGGGTAGGGTTTGTTTCAGATTTTGGGGCAAGGATCATCGTGATCTATAAGGTCCTGTGCATGAATCGCAAGCGCCCGACGCAGAATGACACGAAGACAGGCGGGGTCTGTGTGTATGCGCTCTTGTGTACCTACCTATGTATGTAACGAGCCCTCTCTGGGTATGCTGAGCAAGCATTAACCGCAACGTCCAAGCCAATGTGTACCTGGTCCTTGGGGCGGGGGTTCCATGTATCTGAAACACGGGAGATCGAAATTCACCGTGGGGCTATGCAGATTCTAGTAGTTTTGCATCTTCCCTTTTTTTTGCTGCTGCAGATCAGCCGTCATCCCATCTCGTACTTACCATATCATCCGGTGCTATTAAGCTGTCAGCCCTTTTTTTTGAAACTGAGAGAGAGACCCGGCAACTGAATATCCTCTTGTCTTACTTTCTATCTTGCTAACCCCTCCAGCCGTCATCTGTGCTCGTCGCGGCCATTCGCCTCCTGGGGGAACAAGGCAGTTTCACCGCTGTCCTGACACCTGGAGCACCATCGTCTTTGTCCGGCCTGTTACGCAAAAAAAAGGCAGCCAAGCAGAGCCACACCAAACATCAAACACCGCCAGAAAAAAAAGGCGGTGGGCCACTCGTGCAAAGACGCGAGAGAGTTGCCAACCAAGGAAACTCGACTTCTGCAAAGCACACTAGGCCAGACCCAAATAAAAAAACACGCAAAAAAAGAAATATATGAAGCGAAGCCCATGGGGATCTGCGTTGCAGCGTGTTAGAGCCATGGATCGAAAGCCTGGTTTTGTCGACTAAAACGTACCGAACCCACAACCTTTGGTGTTTTGGGAACCCAGCCGAAAACCAACGCGCTACCATTGCGCCAAGGCTCCTCTTTGGGAAGTGTGTAGAAGACTGGCTCCGGTTACAGCTCCTATATACGATTTGACCTGGATGCATGCAAAAAAAAGATGGCCTGTCCGTAACGACAGGCCTTCCCCAACCTCCCGTGGGCGGAAGCACCATCAGTTGCATGAAAAAAAAGAAAAGAAAAGTAGGACGTAGATGACGAGGTCCCGCAGCAAAGACCCACCGCTGCGCAGACTCGGTGTACATGGGGCGACGCGACACGGCTGGCTTGCATGAGTGTCACGTGATGTTTTCCCAGCGCGCAAACCAGCAGAGCTCTACAGGACTTGTATTGAAAAAGCAAACAAGGAGCTCCAAGCCAAAATGCATCTGGTATACCCCAGGTGTTTGACAAGCTGTTCCGGCAGGCTGGAATCAGACCTACCATCCCCCATACCACGTGATGTACTGGCCTGATTCTCAAGCCAGCAGTACCCTTTCCAGCAGCCAAAAAAAGAGCGGGACTGAAACAATGCCGTTTCAAGCACACACGTCACAAAAGCAGACGGTTGTTTTGAAACCCCCCAGTATCCCCTAACCCAAGTCGCAATAAACGTCTTGAAACAACAAAGCAGCAGCAGCACTTTTGAAACAATGCCCTTCCCGTCTCTCTCTCTCTTCCCCAACTTCACAAAAAAAAGGATGCAAAAAAAAAGAAGGGAAGATGTTGTTGCATCGGCCGGGAATCTAGAAGAACTGTTAGAATTTCGAATGCTGGATAAAGGATGTAATCAAGTGCAACTTACCGAACCCGGGGCTAGCCGAAGTTGTTGCTTCCATTTGATCTGACAAGATCAGATGGAGATGGCAACGGCTAATTTTACCACTAAACCACCGATGCTGGATTTCCTCTGACCGTTGTGATCAAAGTTTTATCTGATTGATGGGAGTTTCCCCCATCTAGTAGGTTCATATCCCAGGGCAAATTTTTTTTTTCCCACGAAAATGGAGGGTGGCGGGCATGTGGGCAACGTGTGGTGGTGGGATTTCAGGGGTGCTGGATGGGAAAGGATTTGCGGTGGGTCTCTTTCTGGACTGGATTGGACTGGACGGGACTGGACGGGACTGGAACACTGCAAGTGTACCCGAGTGGGAGCCACTCAGAAAGTCCTTTTTTTTACCCCTCCTTTTTTTTGCGCTGTTGGGTTTGTTCGTGTTCTTAGTGCTATGTACGCATGTACATGCATGCATACATGCAACACTCCGTAACGAATAAACGTAATCTCACCCTTTTTGCCTTGAACCCAAAAAGCCCTTTTCGTCTTCCCCAAACCATCCCCATCATCATCGCATTTTACTTTGCACATCTCTCGTCATCCCTCCCCTCTCCGCCCTAAAAAACTAACTTTTGCGTGTTACATACACACTGCATGCATGCATACATACATACATACATACATACATACATACATACATACATACATACATACATACATACATACATACATACATACATACATACATACATACATACATACATACATACATACATACATACATACATACATACATACATACATACATACATACATACATACATACATACT